GTGATTGTGAGAAATAATTACTACAATGAGAAGTTGCATTGAATTAGGGAATAACAGTAAACATTGCATATGATATGTGTGTGTGTGTGTGTGTGTATGCATCACAGCACAAAATAACAATATCACAAAAGTTACACAATGAAAGTGAGACATAAAACTTCTCAATTTGCCCCTCTAAGGATGTGATTATGGTGAAAGAGATGAGTAGTAGAACTAAGGTAAAAAGAAGGTAATTGAAAGCCATAAAGGAGATGCTACATACAAATGCAGAAAAACTCTACCCACAGCTATGGTAATTTATTGCATGAAAGGATTGCATTTCAAACAGGGAAAACTAAAAAAATAATATCTTGGCATTCATTTTGTAGAACATTTAGAAAAGTTGTTTGCTGTGGTGAGTTACACTACGTAAATGTGGAAAACATGTTCAAAGGAAGTAATTCTGGTCTTACGCTATCTGATGGTGATCATAACCTATAATTGGGTTTGTTATCTAGTTATTAGGTGATTATGTGCTCTGTCTGTCAATAGTAGGAGCCAAGCAGCCCTTTAATGAGCAACACAATAGAAGCTAGGCAATTATAGCAACTCCAGACCTCTAAAAGGGCCTTTGCCAGTAAGTCCAGCTTTAGTGAGGAATTGCTGTATAAATTAGCATGCCTTGGAAAAACAGTAGGGAAGATAGAAAAGGAAAATATTGGATGGAGGGGTATAACCTGGAATTAGGAATCAGAAAAGTATTTCAAGTAAACTTGGTATTTGGTGCTTCCAGTAGTACTTGATTGAATGGCCCTCAGACTGAAACTGTTAAACAAATGGCATCACAATATTGAAAATTCAGCAAATGTTAAAATAGCTAAATTTAATTTTACTGCTAAATTACAAAAGAGAAGTTATTTCTAATGTTGAACTGCTTCTTCAACATATGTTCTTTATTCAGAGAATGCTTCTTTAAATACAGCAACCCATAGATAAACTCTTTATGCATGGAGATTCTGAATGCATTAGTTATTTGGTATATTACACCATAAGAGATTGAAACTGTATGCTCAGTCTAGAGCAGGGGTGGGGATCCTTGGCTCTTTTATGACTTGTGGACTTCAACTCCCAGAATTCCTGAGCCAGCATGGGAGTTGAAGTCCACAAGTCATAAAAGAGCCAAGGTTCCCCACCCCTAGTCTAGAGCTTATCAGATGTCTGCATGTATCATGGCAGTAATAGCAAAAGAATTGTAATGTATCAAGTGGAGTTCCAGTATTTCACTTACAGCGAATCTTTAAACATTACACAAATTGGGGTAGTGTCTTTTCAGATGTTGGATTCTTGTGTCATTTGAGCTAGGTTATTTTCCTGTGGACATTTCACTATCATCATTAACAATGCACTAAGAACCCAACAACTCCTAAAATTCCCAGTAAATCAGTTCAGTGCTGACTAAAGATTGGGTGCTATAGTCTATTCATGCAGAAGAGAGCAGGTTGAGGAAAGTTGTTTTATTGCAACCAAGCTTAATAACGCATGCTAAATAAACATTCTTCCTTTGCTCATTCCACTACCATTTCCTTCTTTCCTTGGCATATGCAAAACTTATATTTGGAACTCTTTGTGTTTGTGTTAAAGTATAAAATATAAAAAACATGCATATTTTATAAAACTTCAGAAACACATTTTATACTTTTTTATACTGCTTTACAGTTAAGTATAGAATAAAAATATAATTTTAGATGAACAATAGGTGTCAAGGGAATATCTCAGCCCTTTGTAGTCATCCAATATGCAAAATTTATTAGTAAGAATAATATATAGAAAGATCATCTTGAAATCTGTTCTACCATGAGCAAAAAAACCCCATAGTTTTGGGTCTCTTCATTTTCTAGAAAAGCAACAAAATGAATGCTTGTGGTAAAGGTGGTTCACATTTTTTTTAAAAAAGCTTCAGTTTATATTTGTTCTTGACAAGTATACTGGCAACATGTAAGTTAAGATTAAGCCATCTTATGTTGCAAGGCCTCGTGTGGTCCCCAACCCTTTGGGAGAAGGAGAACCTGCAACTATCTCTTATTGCCAAAGATTAATCACATAATTTCTGTTCATTTTGAAGTAGGAAAATGTTAAAAATTGTGGCTAGGTTATAACATGGGCTTAATGTAGTTTTAAGGAAGGACAAAACAAAAGAAAAGAAAAAAATCCAGAAAATCAGTTCTGTCCATTTTTCATCGCCCCACCTACAAAATATTACACAGGACCTCTGGTTATCAAGAGGGTAGTCATTCCTGTTCTACACAGAGTCGAAGCATTTTTACAACATCTCTTCACCAGCTCTTAATTGTTGGTTAATTTTGGTCTTGATTTCAAATTAAGTGTTTTTTACATTGTGTTTTGTATTTTAATAATTGTTAGCTGTATTGAAACATAGCCGTGTCATACCTCTAGGCAGTGCTCTTTGAGATTATTTTTTATATTGTCACTTTCAGGCATGCTTTCTTATTGTGCCACCCAAAGAGTAATTTTAATCTCGTTGTACACATTGGTGAATAACATTCAATAAATCTTTCTTCTCCCCTTAAAACTTAGTTTTGAAACTGTCCCTAAAAATGATGAGTGAAACCCTGGTGGATGAATTAGTGAGCTTTTTGGATAGGCATTATCGGGGGCGGGTGGGTTATTGTTATTGTTGATGGGTTTCAGAGTATTGTTCTTTCCTCTCTGCTCTAGCAAATACAGTTTGGGCCATTCATTGGTGCACAAATTAAGATTGAAGGGAAATCTCATTCTTCACCCCTAAATTGGAATACTATAATTAACATTTCTGTGCCACTGACTAAGAGTTTCCTTGGTAATGGAGAACTGCAGCTGAGGCTCTCACAGCACTTAAAGGGCGCCACCAATGTTAGCACATCCGTGTCCATTAAATGTTACCATAGGTTGATTAACAGTAGAAGTGAAGGGGGAGAAGTGAGTTCAACATTCAAAGTGGTCCATCCTAAAAGTTAGAATTGGCTAATTTCAACTAATATGTATTTAAATGTATAAAAACTGTAGTATCCTAAAAGGAATACCTTCAAAAAGATTTATTGCATCATAGACAGCATGATTTGATCCCAAATTGCCAATATACAGGAGAACTACCTCAACTATATACAACAACATGCAAGAGAACTACTTCAACACCTGAGATTATCAGATTTTTTTTTTCAAGCCACATCATGTCATAATGTCCATTATTGCAATATCCCTTTGGTCCATCAAGTCTTAAAACTCTTGCCTAAATTTTCTGAATGTCCTGGAATGTAATAGCATCTCTTCAAATTTTGGCATAAATTTAAAATGACGGAGTTACTGGAATGCGACCACTAAAGTTTATGATGACGACCTCAGAGTACAAAGATGCCCACAATCAATCCAAAAGTTAATCAGCCTTGACAGTACATCAATATCTAGTTTCTATTGTCTACTAATATTGTTTATTTATAGATGAACCTTCCTTTTTAATTTTTAACTTCTCATAATCTAAAATAATATAAAAACCTAAGTTTTGAATGAATCTCAGTAATTGCCCCAAGGCTGCTTTTTCCAAAAGGCAACTGGACTTTTTGGATTTTTTTCCTCTGGAAACATTTTGCTTCTCATCCAAGAATCATCTTCAGTTCTTGGATGAGAAGCAAAACGTTTTCAAAGCAAAAACCAAGAAAGTCAAGTTGACTTTTGGAAAAGGCACCTTTGAGACAACCATGACCTGGATGATTGAGAATCTCCATAGACATTTCACTAATAGCTGATTTTGTGTAATGTATTTATACAGATTGTGCATCATTATATCCCATTCTTACATTAACAGGATGTAGAATTTAATCTCACTTGCTATATATTTCAGCTTAGTTGCTGTGGCCATCAGAGAATACCTTAATTTGTTGTTGGGGATGGGGGAAAGTAGCTAGAATGTTTTGCTTTGAAGAATATGGGTGGCAGCATTTGGGGTGGAAAGCTTGAACTTCATATATTAAGTTGAACTAGTCCAATAAATAAGTATCTAGTTAACATAAATTGGTGTGCTCCTTTGTCTCCAATAATGGGTTTTAAGAGTGGAAGACTGCAAGGGCCAGGCAACTTTACTATGGCTAGCAACTGCCACCCTTTTTTCCAGCACTTAAGAACCACTGTAAGATCAAATAATTCATGATAGTATGTTTGAGGATTATGACTTTTGATGTGGGATTTTTGAGCAGGGACTAAGGGTTAATTTCATTTTTTAAGCCTAGAACTTAAAGCATAGGACATTATAGTAACCTTTTAGGCAGCAGAAAATTGTAATATTGAATTGGGGAGAAGATTCTGCAGGGCCATCTTGGGGAGCTAGACACCATTTTGTCTTTTTTTTTTAACCATAGAGTTGGAAGGGACTTTGGAGATTTTCTAGTCCAACCCTTACCCAGGGCAGGACTCCTTATTCTATCTCTGACAAATGGTTGTCCAATCTTTTCTTGAAAACCTCCAGCAATGGAGCACCCACAGCTTTGGGAGGCAAACTGTTCCATTGACTAATTGTTCACACAGTCATAATGTTCCATAGATAGTCTGTCCTCTGTGGCATGTAATATACATACAAACTTTAGCTCTGCTACTAAATTGTCTGCCCTGCAAAATATTTGCATAATTGTAGGTTTTTTAATGTAAATTCTAAGAAGAGACTCTTATTATTATTTAACAAGAGAGCCAGTTTGGAGAGCCAAGAATGAAAAGAGGTCTTTTATGGAATGGAGCCATAAAACCAAATTTCATTTGTTTAAACTTTTGTGGAAAATTCTTTTTACTTGTTGATTTATGGGTACATTTATTAAGGCCATTGTTCCCCATGTAACTTGCCTTTTATTGCTATTGTGCTGGGAATCATCGGACATAAAAAGAAGGTAATTTTAAGGAAATGTCAAATGGCTGTAGTGCTTGTGATGTGTTTGTATGATGTGTGAGGAAAATAACACCTGATTTTTTCTGTCTTTTAGGTGCCATTACTGCAAATCTTCATGCCATGTCTCCTCTCTGCGTATACCATATGCATGTAAGCTTCTCTTCCAAGAACTTCAATCTATGAACATTATACCCAGATTAAAATTGGCCAAGTACAATGAATAAACAAACGACAAGCAAAGAAAGAAGAAGCAGGCGGAAGTGTAATCCGAACAAGTTTAAGTGGAAGTGCTAAACCACATAGGCCACAAGTTCTTCTTGGTTTTCTTTTCCCTCTTTGGCTGGGAAACAGTCCTCAAGAGAATGTTAGAAGCTGTGTTTATCCGTGACAAACAGCTAGAGGTTTTCTATAGAAGATGAAAAAGGAAATAGATGCAGCATCATGGTATCCTTTGAATTGCATGGAAGCACTACAGATCAACCATTTGTAGCAGAACAAGCAACATAAATACAAACATATATAAATAAATAAACATTTGGAACAGCAATACCCTGTTAAAATAAGTGAAGTTTAAAGGACCAACTTTTGATATTTTGGTGACTGAAACGTAGTTTGTAATAAGTGGAAGTTCTTTTCCCATACCAAGTATAGTTTTTTTTTAATGTTATTCACTGAGATTGTAAATTAATAAAAACTTAAAAGATATTGTCTAATGTTGATTTTGGTGGCCAACTGTCTTATGTGTCTATGGTATAACAATATTACTAATAATAGTAAATAGGATTGAAGCAGCCATCTGTTGTAAAATAGGCTGCCCTTTCTTGTCTGTGGTTTATAGAATACATATTCGGAGATTCAAAGATATATAGTTGTAGAATTTTAATCCTAAAGGAATCCTAAGATAGCCTGAATCAGAGGGTGCTTCCAATTGCACTCGCAATTTTGGGAGGCTGGGGATAGAAGAATTCCAAATAAACACGAGCTATAATGAGTTCAGCCACTGTAACAAACACTTGTCTTGGAAGACAGCATTGGATAAATCTACCGAGAAATAGTCCTGGAGAAACATGTTATTTTCTATTTTCTGATTTAGAATACAGGGCCAAGAAGATGTGGCTATGCAAAATTAAAACTGCAAATAATTTACACTTCCAGATACTTTTTAAACAGTTCATTCATTTTTTTTGAATGGCATCTGTTGTTAGGACTTCTAACTACCCATCTTTAACATTTCCCCTTTATGACCCTGTAGCTCCTATTTGGGGTAAAGTCGGGATAACTGGATGGAACTGAGCATTTACTGGCTGGATGCCCTTCCTGACACCTTCACACAGTTCACAGCAGATATTTTTTCTTTGCACCGTAGGAGAAAAGCATCTGCTGCTATCTAGGATTGAACTCCAACCTTAGTGGGAGGTGTGTGTCTTCACCATTAAGCCACCACATCACTCTAACTGTCCATCTTTAAATGTTATATTAATTCTAAGGAATACTCTTCTTTCCTGGCACAAAAATGACAATTTGTTGATAACAAAATACTTTCCCTTTTTGAGATAGTACATTTGCAGTTCTGAACTCAGTATGGATTGTGATTCCTTAAAGTAGTGGTATCAGAAATACTTCTCACCTTCTCAGGTTGCTAATAATGTTAGGAGCAAGACGTTACAGTCTTGAGGTGCAGTGCAGCTATGCCAAAAGATGAGTTTTTTTATACTATAGTACAGTGTTTCTCAGCCTTGGCAACTTAAAAATGTGTGGACTGGATCTGGATCTCAGTTCAGTAATTTTATCTTTGATAAAGCTATAATAGTCTGAAGAATACATCATGCTGTTGCACCATTCATATAAATGAAGTATGGTATGCAAAAATGACTACAGGAATTTGTTATTCTCTCTTCAGCTTATCATTTTCCATTGTAAGCAAGAGCATCATCTGATATGCTCTTCAAGTGAAGGCAGTGGTAGTCCAACTGCAATGCTAAATGTATGTCATACATACTCTATTCAAGATTCAATGTGTTGTTAGAAGTGATGCCTACCGTCACTTAAAGGGATATTTAAAATTCAGAAGTATCCTAAAATATAATATCCATTTTATAATGGAAAGAAGTTACATAAAATGTGTCAATGAATTCTATGAGCCTAACTTGTAAGTAATATCAATGTTGTTTGTCTGCTGAAAGGAAGGTAGAAAAACAAACTTCTGAATGCCAAAGAAGATGTAGTAATAGAAGTAAAGTCCCTCTAAAAGGAGCAGAATATAGAATCATAGGGCTGGAAAGGATTCTGAAGGTCTGCTCGGGACAGGAGACCTTATACTATCTTGGTCAAATGGTTGTTTGGTCTATTTATAAAAATCTCCAGTAATGGAGCACTCATGACTCAGAGGCAAGCTGTTCCTTTGATTAATAGTTCTCATTATCAGAAAATTTCTTCTTACTTCTATATTGGATCTCTCTAACAATCTTCCATCCATTACTTCTTGTCTTGCACTCTGGTGCTTTGGAAAATGTATCAATTTCCTTTTCTCTCTGACAACTCATGTACTGGAAGACAGTTATGTCCCCCTTAATTCTCTTCAATAGACTAGAATACCTAGCTCCCTCAACAGTTCATCATAAAAAGCATAAAAGCACGTCCAATATTTCAACTCTCCCAATCCATCATTTGGGCAAAGTCAACTTCTGAAGCTATCAAGCTGGCTATATTATTGATTTTAATAAACTTAGAGCAATGTTAAGAAGATGAAAAAGCTAATGAGAAGTGAAACCCTCGGTGGGTGGGTTTTCCTAAAAAAGAGGTGATCTTGCAAGTATAAGTGCAAACAATTCTCATGAGGAAAGAATCCAGAAAAGAAGAGGCCAAAGTAACTACGGTATGTACACTAAGCACTTAGTGAAGCTTTGAAGTGAGATGGAAAAGGGTTAGGGTTAGGGCAAGACATGAAGAAGAAATCATAAAGAAAGCTGGAATGGTAGCAATGATATCGGGACAGTTTAAGCTTAGAAAGAGCTGAAGTGGACAGTGGATGTTAAGAACAAGTTAGGATATCATGCAGAGCATGGCTTCTGGAATTCTTTCTGATCCCTTAATAGCTCTGCACTGACCAGGAGGATAGATCGAGGGGGCCTAAGCTGTCAGTCTTTTGAGCCACTGCCTAATTATTTCTCCCTTACGGAGGGCTTTGGGGTTTTTTTTCTGGATTTATTTCTTCACAACCCCCAGCTGAATCTGGCCCATTTTCAAACTCAATGCTACTTTTTTGGTTATACCAATTTTGGCTTTGTTATGTTTTCTTCTATGAAGACAGCTAACATGTGAATAAGCAAGGAAGAAAAGAAACTGTTACTCAACTCTACAGTGACAAGAGGAGGACAAATGCCCCTGTCTTTAAAAGAATGAGGATTCTGAAAATTGCACATTTGCCAGTTTGTAGGATTATTCTGGAGAACATCAACAAGACATATAAGTACCTAAAAAACACAGTTCAATAATTATAACAATTGACTCAAACAATAATTCAATAATCCAGAATGGATTTGTCAAGCCCAAGTCTTGCAGACTGGACTTTTTTTTTTAAAGTAAATATTCTCTATTCCTTACAGATCATGGAAATTCTACAGGTGTAACATATCTTGATTTCAGCAAAGTATTTGTCATAGTATCTATGACATGTTGATCACCGTGCCAGTTAAGTGTGAGCTAGATAGTATGACAAATAAGTGAACACATAGTTGCCTTGAAAATCATCTTGGAAGACTTCATTTCTACTTGGAAACCACTTTTGGACTTTTTGCTTGAACTGAAAGAAACAAAATTTTAACCTTGGGATTAGAATTGTGTATGACTGCAGAAGTACTGTGTACTATGGTTTACTCTACATCAAGGAGTCTTTGAATTTCATGCTTGTATTTGTATCAAAGAAAGTCTGAAGTTACTTTTTTATATAGCATTTTTCTCTTCTTGTCTACACCCCCTAGTTTTTTCCCCTGCTTCTCCCTTTTCTCTTTTCAAATTTTCTTCTTCAAGGTTTTCTTGTATTTTATATTCTTCTGAAATTCAATAAAGCTTTGTGAAAAAAAAGGAAAAATCATCTTGAAAGAGAATTCATTAATGGTTCCATATCACAAAAGTATCAAGTATGGTCCCCCAAATTTCAGTTCAGGATTCTAGACTGTGCAACATTTGTGTTTTGTTGCTTGAATGAGGAAGTGGAGGGATGATTATGAACATTGTAGATGACAGAAAAATGGGTAGACTACCTAATAATCTGTATATCCTGCCAATCTTGGCAATTTGCAGGTGTGTGAACTTTTAACTAAATTTCTTAGCAATACAGTAGTCATGCTAGCTGGGGAATTCTGAAAATTGAAATCCACAAATCCAGAAGTTGCTAGGGCTAGAAATTGCCCTAGAAAATAGAAATGAACTATAAGTTATTATTGATACATAAGAAAAATGGCTAAAAATTACAGAATGAAATTTAATACAGAGAAATGGAAAGTTATGTACTTAGGAAACAAGAATAAAACATGGGTATACCATAGGAGAAACTTGAGTTGACAATCTTTATGGGAAAAGATCTTAAAATAGTAGCTGACTATAAAATGAATCAGGAGGATGTAACAATTAAAGTTTGAACTAGGAGTGATGACTTTTTCGTTCAAATCTACTCCCAGATCTGAGTGACAGGGCCAGTCACACAATCCTCAGTTCAGCATACCTCATAAAGTTGCTGTGGGGGGAAATACCAAAAAGGGAGTGGTGTGTGCTTTGCTTTGAGCAAATGAACAAAAGATGGGACATAGAACCAATAAATAAATAAAGCATACATAGTAAAGAAGTGTGACATGATTGAAAAAAGGTAAATGTAAGTTTAGACTGCCTCAACAGAAGTAGAGTACAATGTGATTGTACTTTACTGTGCTTTATTCAGAACCCATTTTGATTGTTGTGTCCAGTTTTAAGAAGGATTCAGAGACGCTGGAATAGTTTCATAGAAGGATAAAGAGGAGGACCAAGGGACTAGGACCTTAATCCTCTGAGGAACCAAGAGTATTTAGCTTTGAGAAAACTGAAGGAGAACAAGATACCAATCTTCAAAAATGGAGGTGGGAGTGGGGAATGCCTCATAGACCGTCTTCTTCATTATTCCAGAGTGCAGAAATAGGAATGCTCCTAACAAAAAGAGCAGCTGGATACCAGAATCAATTCCCCAGGGAGATGGTGGCTCCATTTTATTGGATGTATTCAGGCAGAAAAGAGACCTCCATCTCTTTACAGTGCTTCAAGTTTGGATTCCACACTGAGCAGGGGGTTGAATTCAATGGGTTAAATGATAGTCTATCTGGGAAACCCCCTCCCCATTCTTTTTCTCTTACAGAATTATAATGCCGGAAGGAACCTCACTGAAGTTTAATCCATACCCCTCCCAAAGTGAAGAACTGGCTCCTGAATCGACACAACTGGAGCACTTTTCCAACCATGACAACACTGCTTCTTGGGGCCATATTTTTCACTGCCCAAAGGGACCCCCTCTAAGGTTTTAGCTGCAGCTCTTTACCAAATTTCCACAAGCAAAGGGGCTAATATTAATTTATGAATTACATTTCTATACTGTTTTAAAATCCAGAGTAGATTTTTAATATAATATTTTTAAAATAATC